ACTCTGTAAACTCCTGCTGCTGTGTCTCTTACCTTTCCCCACAGATTTTAGAGGTGTCAATCTGCCTGCATCATCCCTTCCTGTCTTTCACCCATTATTCCGTCTAGTTTCATTCATTTAGTCCATGTATATTATACCTGAAGCTAAGCACTGAGGAACAATTGCTACTGTGTCACAAGGCCTAGAACACAGCTCATACATGGCAGGTTCACAGAACATAAAGGAATGAAGGAAGAAAGGGATTAATTCTTTTTGCCAAGATTTCCAAATTTTATAAAAGATAAAGCATTTCTACTTTTTAAAATAGAACTCTTTTATGGCTGATATTCGAGTTAACTGAACCTTTCTTTTCATTTAGGAAAGTAAACTTCAACTTGATAACTGTCATCACTGATGCTGAAAGTGTAAGCATCCCATAGACAACTACATTAGGGTAACCTTAGAAATAGAATTGGGGTCAGACATCATATATATCTGAAACATTCTTCCAACCTGTCCTTGAGGAATACTGATAGTAAATTACACATCCTCCTCAAAGTAGGAGAGTCTCCAATTTCCTACTTTCAAAAATGTTTTCACCACCCACTTTCTCTTTAAAATTGCTAAGCATTCTCCCTACTAAATGTTCCAAAGCAGGTCAATATAAGAGGTAAAGTAATATTTAAGTACTTTTCCACTTAGCAATTTCACATTACCTGAGTTGGATCAATCACAAAATCATTTACATACCCATGAATTAAAACTTGGGGTAATAAAAGGAGATTGCTTTATAATGTGATACACCTCATTTAATAATTTCTTCATTAAATGATTCTAATGTGTTTTTATTGGTTACACAACATTTAATGGAATACAGCATACTGATTGCAAATATACTCTCTCCCTGTTTAATTTAGACTAATGAAAATGAGTTTTATCTTTCTTAAGTATATGCAGTCAAATAAAAGGCTTTCTTTGTAATTAAGACAAAATCCTTCCATATCTGCTAAAGTTCTAAAGTCATTTAAAATAAAAACATGACAATAAAATCCTGAGTCAATATATAAATATTTTATAAACCTGAATGTTACAAGATTGTTCATAGATTTATCAACTTCTATTCTTAAATTTTTATCTATAAATATAAAAAGCCATGAAGTTGGTTTTAATTTTCTATTTTATTTAAAAGATAATAATATATATTCTTTAATTCTATAAAGCAAAGCCCTCAAAATCATATCATAAGAACTATGCATACCATACTCTTAAACTCAAATAGTCCTACATTTTCATTTTTATATATAGCATAGCACTATAAATAACTTGATATATAACAAATTTTACATTTACAGGTAAGGGAACCAGCTCCCTGTTTTGGCAGCTATAACAACCTCACACATGCTTGCCTGACCTTGCCTTGGTCACTAGGAGGTCAGATGCCTGCCTCGTGGCAAGGAACCAATCAGAAGTTAGCTGGTGGTGTTTTGCTTTATGGCTCTGGGTGTGCCTTACGGACAAGTACACAGTGACATGCAGAGCATAGCAACCACCCTGGGAGGGCCTATGGGCCATAACAACCAATTGACCAATCAACACAGGGCAGGTCCTCCAAGTTCTGCATACACACCAATCCTAAGACTGTGAGTACCCATAGACACTCCCCTTTGCTGCCCTATAAGATCTCGGTCCTTTGGTTTCTCCGGGTCTTTCCCCAGCCATCAGCTATGGTGAGTGGATGAAAGGCCAGAGCTAATGGTGTTAGCTCATTAAACAACTGCAATAAAAGACTCATTGCTTTTGCATCGAAATGGGCCTCTTGGTGATTTGGGAATTCAGAATTTGGGTACAACACAGGAAAAAGTCCTTTCCTGAGTTATTAAAGTAAAACAAGGGGCTGGGAGGCAGCTCAACAGTTAAGATAATTTACTGCTCCTGCAAAGGACCTGGGTTTGGTTCCCAGCACCCATATTCAAGGGTTCACAACTTCCTCTAACTCCAGCTCCAGGGAATCCAATGCCCTTCTCTGGCCTCTAGCACCAGCACACACCAGATACAAATACATACACTTAGACATATACATAGGAATAAAGTTATTCTAAATTAATAAAGTAAAACAAAATTACCAATGACGAAATAGCAAACAGAATAGTAAATTTTTCACTACTTTATTTCAAACAAGTAGATGACAGGAAAGGACACCATTCATAGAACAAGCACTGCCATGGGACACGAAACAGACAGACCTGTCATTATACTTTATTGTAAAACGATTATTCTTGAAAAACATCAAATATACTTGTTTCTCTCCGGCAAAAGTTAGAACTATTGAGAACTGCAGGTAGGAATGAGGTAGTTACATCAGAGAATACTGTAATGACTGAAGGACTCTGGCCAGCTAGAGCGTGGCAATCATGGTTCCACAGGCCTTGCCCTTTCCCCATTCCCTGTGCTAAAAACCAGTTAGATTACATTCCTAAAGCCAGTCACCAAGATCTATCCTTTATTTGGACACTTCTTCCTCCTGAGGCAGACTACCAAGGTCCAGAAATCAGATGACCCCTTTAGTTCACCCAATTAAAGTGCCAAATTAAAACTAAACACCTCATCCTAATATGAGGTTTCCCCCTTTAACTTTATAAACCGCCATTTGCCTAAGTACCATGTCTGCCTCCTTTCTATCCAGAGGCAGTCCTTTGTCCCTCTGGGACAAATATCCCTGCCCCCTTTCCCTTGTCTCCTTCCCCTTCTCCATTGTCCTCTTATCTCTTTCACCACCACACCCTAGCCCATTCTAAGGCAGACATCCCCTTTCTCTCTTCTTAAGAATGACACCTGCAAGGCCATTTGCTGCTATTTTCTGCCTGAGTCAGAAAGCAGCCACTTTAACTTTTCTTCCCTGCTTAACAAAGGATCTGTCTGTGAAAACAGGTGTTTGGGTGTGGTTTGTGCCTAATCTGGGGTCTGGGAGGAAAGTCCCTGCCTCTCAGTGATCTCCTTCAATGATGATATACATCAAAAGAAATAAAGAAACTTTTGTCATACTAATCACTTACAGGAAAGCTGAAACTTGACAATGTTAACAATAGTATAACAGCTCAGAAAGGAAGAAAGGAGGGAGGGAGGGAGGAAGAGGAAGGAACGAAGACAAACAGTTAAATTTCAACTTAAAGTGGATCTCAGAAATTCTGCTACTGTATGACAAATAATAGTCTCTAGTTTTTCACTGGAAACTCTGGAAAAGGTGTTATTTACCATGCACGAGAACAGACCACAAGTATACAACAAAACCTGAAGGGACCAGCTCCCCATTTCGGCAGCCATTACAGCCTAGCACATGCTTGCCTGACCTTGCCTTGGTCACTAGGAGGTCAGATGCCTGCCTCGTGGCAAGGAACCAATCAGAAGTTAGCTGGTGGTGCTATGCTTTACGGCTCTGGGTGTGCTTTAAGGACTCGTACCCCTAGACACTCCCCTTACACTGCCCTATAAGATCTCTATGCTGTGGCTTCTTGGCATTCCGCCCCCCCCCACCATCCCCCATGGTGGATGAATGAAAGGCCAGAGCTATTAGTGTTAGCTTGTTAAACAACTGCAATAAAGCCTCTTGCTGTTTTCATCAAGCTTTTGCCTCCCCTAGTGATTGGGATCGCCACAGTCCTGGGCAGAGATCCTGGGGGCCTGAGCCACCAGGGGTCTTTCAAACCCACTTAAGAGTTTTATTAGTAAAGAGTAGAAAAAGGGGGTGGACACAGGGCTGTCTGGAAGAAACGTGGTGAGAGAGAAAGTGGGTGGGGGGTGTCTGCTTTTAAGGGTCACTTAGCGCATATATATGGGGGCTTACGGAGCCACACAACCAACTCATTACCTGGCCATGACACACATGCGCATAAGGCCCTGGGATGACTAAGAATTTTGCCTGAATTCTGATGGACACATGGGTGGCAATGGGACCCCAAAAATGACAACAAAAGGAAGTTTCTCAATCCTACTGTACTGTTTTTGTTCATATTCACCAAAGACTCAGTTCTAATTGCTTACTTAGTGACAACACATTTGCTGCACAAGACTACTGCTCCTGCTGTGTCTGCTTCTGCTGTGGATGATGCAAACTGACTGACTGACCTTCGTTACCTGGCTTCGTTATTACTTCACTTTCAGACCAACAATACTAACAACAGATCCAGTCCCAAGTTTTAGAGTCCAAATCATTTCTATAACTCTCAACCTTCAAATATATATTTATCTTTATATCTGCTGCCAGACCAGTCACTTCTCTCGATGCTCTGACCTAATCCTGACAAACAATTAAGAGGAAAAGGGTTATTTGGGCTCCTGGTTTGGGCAACACAAGCCATGATGGTAGGGAAGGCATGGTCACAGGACCACTCCCGTTCACGGCACACAGAGAACACTTGCTCTCATCTCAGTGGGCCAGGAAACAGAAAGGCAAAGGCCAGCATTCAGCTGGCATTCTCCTTTCTTGTTTTCATTCATCCCAACACCTCACCCCTCAGAGCTCACCATTCTCATTCAGGGCAGGCTGTCCTGCCTAGGTTAATCCTGTCTGAGAACACTCACAGAAACACCTACAGGTATACTCCAGCAAGGCCTTAGGCATTTCACAATCCAATAGGGGTTGAGACTGCTTTCTTGATATTTGAAATTACCTAATTAGTTTTTCTTGGCATGTATTTCTTGTATTACACTGATATCCGAATCAGGGAAACTGCTTTTCTCCTTTAAAAACTTTTCATGTACTATAAGTTCTGGGTATTTCATAAACAGAATATCAGATGAATTTATTATCCTAACTAAAACTGATGAAATGTCTTTGGAATAATTAGGAAACAAAACCTTAGACAAATTTTACATTTGAAAATAAAGTCTCACAGTTTTCACGATTCCCTCTTTTCCTTTGACAGGAAAGTCAATGTACTTTACTACCACTGGAAGTGTTCATGATCATCTATTCAGTATGAAACTGTGACTTCCCCACGGCCTCAAAGAGCAGCCGGCCTTACCTGGCCCCTCAGAGATTCTTCCCAGGCACCGGGGACGGGGACTTGTACTCAGGAAGGAGGAATGTTTCTTTTTAGCCACTGAACTTCGAGGTGGCATGTAGTTGTGTTTAACTTGGGACATATCATACGATTTCTGAACCTCATAGCTGCCTGGAGCTGGAAACATCTAGGAAGCAAAAATGTGAAAGACAAGCATAAACATACTGTATATGCAAGCTATCCAGCTACCTGCTGGGTAACTGTCCACACTCATCAAAACACCGCATCAAAACAGACGAAAACCGCTTTAATTACAAACAGAAATTATTAAGTAGATTCCACCAAATAATCTTTATAATACAATTATAACTCATTATCCAGATGTAAGGAAAACAGAATCATGAAATTCAAGTTCAAAAGACTTGAAGAGGAGACGTCACAACATTGATGAAATGCTCATGTTTAATTTTAATGATGAGTACTGAAGTCCATACAGGACTCAGAACAATGAGTGTGTGTTTTCATAGACAGCAAAGCTATCCCCGCCTTACTACCCTGAACCAGCATACTCGACTTGTTCTGCAAAATGCGGCTGCTTCTTTCATTTTTAATAGGTTCCAATTAAGTTGGAAAGCTTCTGCTTTCATCATTTACTGTTCTTTATATGATATGCAGTTACATTTGCATTTTAATCAATATGAACCATATAATAATTATAACAATAATTCTAAACTAAAATACAAATGTCATGTACTAGGTGCATAATTAATGCCTTAAAGTATTACCTAATTATCACAATAAAAACTTTTTTTTAAATTCTGCACAAATTATTTTGCATTTGGGGGCTGGAGATATGGCACAGTGGTTGTGAGCAATAAAAGCTCTGCCAGAAGATTCAAGTTCGAGTCCCTGTACCCACATGGTGGCTCACAATCATCTCTAACTCCAGTTCCAGGGGATCTGACACCCTGTTCTGGCCTTCCTGGGCACCAGGCACGCATGTGGTACACAGACATACATGTAAGTAAGTACCCATAGACATTAAAAATGATAAAACAGTTAAAATGTTTTAAGTTTTAATGATTTATTAAGAAACAAGAGAGCATTTTGGTTGAGTGTGGGTTTCAAATATTTTTTGCTTGCTTGCTGTGTGGCCTTAAGCTAACCACTCAACTTTGTGATCCTCTGTCTATTTAATAAAGTGAAAATAAGTATATAAATCATAGGGTTACTACAAGAACAAAACAGGTAGACAGAAGTAAAACACTGGCCCTTGACTGCACAGGAATACTAATGTAACTTAACATTCTAGAAAAACCTAATTCAATGCAAGTTCAAACAAAACACATGGCTAACCAATCAGGGTTTAGGTTACTAGATAAGTTGTTGGTATTTTTTCAAGAGAAAAAAAAACTAGTTATTGATGGGAGAGGTCCTTCTGTGTACATGTATATCTTATTGGTTGTTGAATACAGCACTGCTGGGTCAATGAGGCAGAAAGATAGGTGGGAGTAGGAGTCAAGGAGGATTCTGGGAAATGTAGTAAAAAGAAGTCTTGTGATACAGTCAGGAAATGACATAGCAGGCAGACTCAGGGACAAACAGGAACTCATCCTCTTGCTCTTGCTCTTGCTCTTCCTCCTGCTCTCTACTCTAGAGTTGCCATGTGAGCCCAGGAAGAAGATGCCAGCAGAAGGCATCCTCCATAAGATAAGTCTTAAGATTATGGTTGATAATTAAGACTGAGCTAGCATATAAGAAATTCTAGTCAACTGACTAGCAGCATTGTAAACTAACATAAGTCTGTGTGTATTATTTGGGGCCTTAAAGCAGTGGGCAGAACTTGGGCGGCTTGGCAGAAAGTGCCCACATGGCGGCAGGGCTCGGGCAGCTTTGGCATAAAGATTTATCATTACAAGTAATGCTTACCAGAAAACTTACTCCCTGCTTGCTTATTAACCTGATTTATTCCATCTTATTTATTTAATTTGCATTTTACCTGAACAAGATATTAACTGCTAAATAACTATCCCAAAATGATGCTTAGTATACTAATATGGAGCTCTGTCTAGCAGCAGGAATGTAAGTTATTCCAGTATTTAGTATCCTGAATGAGTTGAACACTATGGCAGGAAAAGAGCACCATGTAGATAAGAACTTTCCACCTCTCCTGTGACCTTTTGTTTTTTATTCAGCTTACAGTCCCAGATAACTGTCATCATTGCTGGGAAGTCACTGCAGGAACTTGAGGCAACTATTCACATCCACAGGCAAGAAAAGAGACAGACTAAATGCATGCATCACCGCCAGAGTTCTGCTCAGTCTCTCCTGTTCAATAAGTCCAGGGTCCAGGCCAGGACATGGTGCCATCCACATTAAGGGTGGGCCTTCATGCTTCAGTTAACCCAACTAAGAAATCCCCTCACAGACACAACAGGCAATCCCAATCCGGACAATTCCTTACTCAGACTTTCTTCCCACATGATTTCAGATGGTGCCAAACTGACATTTAAAACTCACCACCATGCCCAGCATTTGAACCCTGTTCATATATCAGCACAATTTCCCTCTCAACACAAAAGCTAAAAATATCTGATTCTCATTTTCCTGATCTCATTTTCTTGAAAAACTAGGACACAAATCTAGGTCATAGGCCTAAATGCTAGCCTTTTCAAAAAAAACAGAGAACATTAGCATTTCACTCTAGTGAGGAGATGGGCAGAACCAGTGAGTCCTCCTCCCAGGGAGAACAGACAGGAGCAGAGAAGAAAGAGCCAGGGAGACATACAAGAGGTCTGATAAAATACTTGTCTGGATACACAGCAACGACAAGCCTCAAGCACCTGACCTCCTTGTCTGGAAGTCAAGGCCCCCACAAAACACTGGTCCAGTTAATGTTTGTAGGATTCTTGGAGTGACAAGCTGCAGTTCACTGTCACCGCTTTCATCACTGTCATCATTTTCACTGGGATGGCCCTGATGAAACCCTCAATGATATGACACCCCTGTGTCAGAAGAGAGATGCTGGGGGACCTTGAAAACCCTCTAGTATGTTAATCCCCAAACAAACAAAGGACAAATAATTCAAAGCCAGGAAGTTAAGCAAACCCACTGGCTCCAATCACTTTGCAAGTAAGGGAGTCAACCTGTTAGCGCTCTGTTCAAGGCATTTCATAAGCTTTGTGATCTCACTCAATTCTCTCTGGTGGGAAATTCCTCATATTTGGAGCTGTTGAAATTTGCTCACTTTACAACCCCTGCTGCCACTCCCTGATGTCTGTCATCCAAAATCAGAATTTTCCAATTCCCAGGTTTGCTGTGACTTTGACATATGAAATTGGTCCCAGCCATATGAAAGTGTGCATGGGTTCTAATCTTCCGAAACTGTGCTTACCACCCTCAACCCAGCTAAAGACTCAAGGGAGCACCTGCCCCGTGATTGTCTCTCATGCTGGAACAAACTGAAAACAACAGCAGGATGTCGATTTTAGCATCAAGTAATCTATATCTACCTGTGCTTGTGGGCTGCTCTTGTGATCCAGGGTATCTCCTGGGAGCTTTATAGGATAGATTCAAGAGGATAGCCTCAAAAACTATACATGTGGAATCCTCATCAACCCAGCAAGAATTCAAGACCCCAAGGATCTCTCAGCAGTGTCCCGCTCTAGTCTCTGATATGGACTGAGAGGGCTTTGGGCACATTAGCTGGTTAACACCATGATGGACAGGCTTGCCACAAGTTGCTCCCTGAGAAACCGGCCACCAGGATGCACAGCAATTCTTATGTTCCATAACCTCTCTTGTATTCCAATCTCTGAAACTTTTCAGGTCCAATGGGGCAGAGAGCCCCATGCAGCCCAGAGAACTAGTGTTGCTGCCATCAGGGAACTCTCCGGGGTGAGGGTGGGGGAATGCACCCCATAGAACTGTGCCTTTCTCCATAGCTCCTGAGTGTACTTGTGTCTGTGATTTCAGCAAATCTGATAGTGCCTGTCAGATGGAAAGAAAGCTTTCATTCCTGACATTTGTTACTGAAGACATTTATTGTTTTCTCTTGAAACGCAGCACTACAGAAAGACCTGTGAGATTCAAACTTTTAAACTGCACCTACCTAGTTATGTAAATACAATAAATGCATCTTTACTTATGAGTTTACTTCCAGGTGCAGTTACGTCAATCTTTACCTATCTGTGGAGCTGTGGATTTGCAACTAAAATTAGATTGTTCTGTTAAATTTAACCTTTGAATAATGTTGATGGGGGCTATTTATTTATACATTGTTTTTTATCTCAACACTGTTACTGATATATCAATTTGGTTATATTTTAATCCTAGTTTTAAGGTTATGGGTGAGCTACAGAGGCAATGGGATTTTATGCACGAGACTCAAGAAGAGGCGGAGCACTTCCTGAGCCAGCCACAATTTCAGGTTCTTTATTTCCTTGTGGGCTCTTACTAGGTCTCAGCAAGTTCCAAAGAATGGATCTGTCAAGGATTGGAAGGACTGGGCTAAGGGAAAGTTGAATTAACAGTGCTTTCCAAGGTCACATAGATGAGAATAGGGGAATGAAAACCAGGGAAGCTAAAACCACAGCTGATGCTGACTATGGAGGATATGGAAAATGCCTCATGCAGAAAAAGGAGTGAGGTCAGAAAGGCAGAGAGTAAATTCACCTGCAGATAAATGGTTCTTAGGATCCACACGATAGCAAGTTTCTATGATAGCTAGTTTTACATCAACTTGACACAAGCTAGAGTCTTTTAGGAAGAGGGACTCTCAGTTTAGTAAATGCCTCAGTAAGACTGGCCTGTAGTCAAAACTGTAGTGCATTTTCTTAGAGATTGAAATAGGCACGTTCCAGCCCATTGTGGGTCATGCTACCCCTGGGCAAGTGGTCCTGAATACTATACAGAAGGCAGACAGAACAAGCCATGAGAGAAGACAGCACTCCTCTTTAACCTCTGCTTCAGTTCCTGCCTTTAACTCCTGCCCTGGCTCTCCTGGCTGATGGACAACATGCTAGAAGATGAAAGAAACCCTTTCCTCCCCAGGTTGCTTTTGGTCATGTTCTTTTATCCCAACAATGGAAACTCTAAATAAGGCAGATACTAACTTCTTTCTCAAGATGGTTGTCATATTTTGACTATGAATGGAGAAGAGAACTAAAAAGTAAAGCTAAAAGTAAC